TATACTATATATATATATAACACACACACACACACACACACACACACACACACACACACACACACACACACCACTTGTATCATAACTGTACATACACTTCACCTATACTTCTGGTGTAACACCAGTACACACACGTTTTATTTCAGGTATCATACTAGTAAACACACACACACAGCTCTCGAGTAAAATTACATTTTGAGCCGTGCCGTAGTGGCTCATAGAATGGCTGAGTTTTTTTTTTTCAAGCACAAATTGTTAGCTCATAACTAAGTTGAGATCTAATTACAGCCATGGCTATTGAGGATTTCCTCTTGTTATTCCTTCCAAAGTACAAATGCATTATCAAAATTCATATATTCACACACAAGTTCTGTTTGCTAATTCCAGTAAATACATTGTTCAGTTGCATTAAATAAACAAGTCATCATTTAGGGAAGTTTAGGTATGGTTTAGCATGATATTACATTATAACACAAAAGGTTTTATTGCATTAAACAAATGTTAGGTTGCGATATATGTATTGAATGAATGTACTTTATTGTTTTGTATACTGAAATAAATATGCAAGAAGAACAAAAATTATAATTGTTTATTCAGTATATGCAAATCTTACATGCAAACTACAAGGAATAGATACCAAAATATGAAATTTTATGTGGAAAACTTCAAAGAGTTGTTCTTGTTTTATGCCAAGAAATAAAAAAATTTAGTCTTGTTTGTAATGTGTAGGACTTGGGATTATATATTATAATAACATGCAAGAAATGATAGTTTTCTAAAAATGTAAAAGTGTTGATAAAGTAAATAAGTGTTACTAGAAATACTCAGTTCTCACCATAAGCAGCATCAAAGTTAAGAATTTTCAGTAGCTTAGCGTGTCACTGTAATATAGAGTATCAAGTGAAAACATTAATTTTACACAACCTGTTGATTGCATTTCCTTGTTTCAGTACCATTGCAAACCAGGTAAAATACTGAATATTTTCAGTTAAGAAATTACTTGTTGATATGTTTCCAGTCAATTTTACCAGTTCTGCTCAAAGTGCTAAAAAATGTTGTCGGGTAAATCTCCATATATGATGTATTTAAGATGTTTTATTGTAAAAACAATATCAGTCAGTACTAACATTATTAAGATAACTTATTGTGATTTTTTCAGAGAGAGTTTGTGTTGGGCTTGTCTTGTGTTCTAGTGCCATAAGCAAGTACAATAGTTTATATAAAGATATGACTTTAATTATCATAATATCAATCAACTTGACCTGACCAATATGAATAATGGTAACAATTAAGAGTTTTTGTGATGTATGCAAGTCAACTAACTGTTCATCTTACATCACATTGTATGACCTGTTTGGTTCAGCTGATTGTGCAACTCCCATCCCGTGGTGTGATGTGAGTGTAGCAGTTAATTGTCGATCTTGTATCTTTATTTATGTAAAGGAGGTAATTGTCGTCTCATGTCCTGTTGCCCAGCTAATTGTCCACCTTGCATCACATAATGAAATGTTTGTATAGCACCTAATTGTCCAACTTGCATCCGATGGTGGGATATTTGTAGCCCAGATAACTGCTTATATTGCATCACATGGTAAGATGTGTGAGTGAAAGTTAATTGTCCATCTTGCATCACATGGTAGGATGTGTGTGAGTGAAAGTTAATTGTCCATCTTGCATCACATGGTAGGATATGTGTGTGTGAGTGAAAGTTAATTGTCCATCTTGCATCACATGGTAGGATGTGTGTGAGTGAAAGTTAATTGTCCATCTTGCATCACATGGTAGAATGTGTGTGTGTGAAAGTTAATTGTCCATCTTGCATCACATGGTAGGATGTGTGTGTGAAAGTTAATTGTTCATCTCTTTCACATTGTAATATGTGTATCTGTTTTCTATAGAAACCATAAACCATTGCCAGAAAGTTATTTTTGACGTTAATTCGAAAATCTTTAAAGTAAATCAATCTAAAACAATAAATGCAGAATAAGTTCTATTTTGTGTAATGACATCACTTTAAACATATATCACACTGATAATTCACTAAATGATATGAATTAATCTCTATTTCATTGCAGTAAAGCTTACTTCATACTTTGCTTTATATTTCATATGTAATATTCTTGTATATTATAGTAATTCTGATTTTTAACATTGCATTCAGAAACAAAGTTTATCCTTATCAATCAATAATGAAGAAAAAATGTTTTCAGTTAAATCAAAGTAAATATTTTTTCTTTCGGTTAATAAACAGTATTTGTTCTGCATGTATTATTTGTTATCCAAAATTATTTTAATTTTAATATTTAGCTATTTCACTACATGACTGCTATATGTATATGGGAAAAATTTGGTCAGACCTGTTGAAAAGTGCTTCATATGTAAAAGTAATATCTAATTTTTCTCATTACGTTGCTCTTCATGTGTAATCAACTATTGTTATTGGTGTTTCTAATCCTAGTTTCAAATGTTAGTGATTCTAAAGCTTCAACTGTAAAGTTAGTTTATTCTACAGAATGTTGAAATATTTACACTGAACATAATTAAATGGTACATCAGTCGGGTTTATTTTTCTTGCATGTTACAATATTTGTATAGATATATATATTAACAAATGCATATTTATATTTCTGCAACCAGTTCTATTTTAAATAATGGTTGACTAGCCATTTTCATTGAATTTTGCTTTAATGAAAGAAGGTCATTTTGTCAAAAGTTGTCCATTGTACGAGAAAGATGTATTTCAGTAGCTTTTGTCTGCATCACGGAATTTCAATGTGTGTGTGTGATGTTTGATGTTTTGTTTTGAGGGAACTTTATCTTCTTTTTATCCTAATCATATGCTGATTTTTTAAACATAATTATAATTAATTTTTTATATTTTTATGTACTCGTATCAGCTTGACCTGTAGATTCTTATTGAATTGGAATCTTTCTTACCACTTAATTCATTACTTTTTGTCTTGACAACTTCTGCTGTGCACAACAGAAAAAAAACTTGTTTTATGCCCCCACAAGTGTAGTCACTGGCATCTGAAATCTTTGAACCTCCTTTTTCATGGAACCTTGAAACATATTAGAGATTTCATTCATCACAGTTAGAATGGGGTCTGAATCTGGAAAATATGCAAGAGATACATTATTCGATTTAAAGCATTATATGCTATTTTTGGGGTTTTATGGCCTTGCATTTCTTCTTCAGGTTGTTTTAAGTTGATAGCTTCATTAAAGTTGGACACATTGATCTTAATTTATTAAATTCTAGTTCCCCAAATGAGAATCTTGGAGCTCATTTAAGATAACTATTTCAGTTAAGTCATTGTGCTGATTTGTTTGCAGTTTGGTCAAGTTTTACTTGTTTCTTGGATTAATCTTTGAAAACTTAAAACAGAAGTATGCTACTATCTAATTATTATCCAACAAAAATCTTGGAAATGAAATCAGAATATTGAATAACATCAATGCAACTAAATTAGTGTTAAATTTGTGTCTTTATGTGAAGAATTCTATATCTAATGCTGTTTGAATACTTTTCACTAAATTTAATTTCAGTTTCTTTATAATGCTCACTCATTTTCTGGCAATAATGTTAGAAGAAAAAATTACTTTTATTCTCCAGATAATAAAACTTTTTATTTCAGTGAATGTTTTGCCATTGCAGTTTCATTAGGGCTAGTTTGAAACTGTTGTTGTACTACTAGCCCTGATGAAAGTGTAGTGGTGAAATGTTGAATAAAATAAAGGTTTTTTTTATTATTATCTGGAGAGTGAAGGTTGTTGTTGTTTTTCTAACTTTATTGTCCAAATATCTGAATCTCTCAAAACTCACTAAAACATAGAGATATTTATACCTAGCTAAATAAGGCTGTTATAATTAGACAACTGTGAATTATTTTATTTTCCCTAACCCTTTCCTTTAGGAATATAGTATAATAAAATAAGTGTAGTATCTAACCTCATTA